GTATAATACATAAAAAGAAAGAGAAAAAAAAAAACAAACAAACAAAACATAAATAAATATAAATAAATAAAGAAACAAACAAACAAATAAATAAATAAATAAATAAATAAATAAATAAATAAATGTGTTTATTTCTCAGGTTGGGGTGCTGGCGTTGTTATTGTTTTTTTTTTTATGTATAAACACAAAAAACACATAAAAACACAAATATAATACATAAAAAGAAAGAGAAAAAAGCAAATAAACAAACAAAAACTAACTAAATAAATAAATATAAATATAAATAAATAAATAAATAAATAAATGTGTTTATTTCTCAGGTTGGGGTGCTGGCTTTGTTATTATTTTTATCTGTTTTGTTTTTTGATTGGCTCGGCGTTATTTTATTTGCGGGGACAAAAGGACAGCAATTTCATAATTTTAGGAGAGGTTGTGTTTCTCTTCTTCTTGTTGTTACTACAGTGCGTCTCCCTCAGGTAATAAACAAACAAAATAAATAAATAAATAAATAAATATATTTTATTTATATTTATCTTTTTTTCCTTTTTTATTTGGCGTTTATACGATATAAATATGTTATATAAATATAAATTTACACACAGAAGAGGTTGTGTTTCTCCTTGTTGTTACCTCAGGTAATTTATAAACAAAATAAATAAGCAAAATAAATAAATAAATAAATAAATAAATAAATAAATAAATATTTTATTTATATTTATCTTTTTTTCTTTTTTTATTTGGCGTTTATACGATATAAATATGTTATATAAATATAAATTTACACACAGAAGAGGTTGTTGTGTTTCTCCTGGTTGTTACCTCAGGTAATTTATAAACAAAATAAATAAATAAATAAATAAATAAATAAATAAATAAATAAATAAATAAATAAATAAGTAGTTTATTTATATTTATCTTTTTTTCTTTTTTTATTTGGCGTTTATACGATATAAATATGTTATATAAACATATATTTACACACAGAAGAGGTTGTTGTGTTTCTC